TGAATAAATTAACTAAGATAAAAACAAAAGTCGAATATTAATGAGATTAGCTAACAGAGAGTTTTGGTTAGTTAATATCTATATATACAAATATAGATATATCTTATTATGGGGTCGATATCTAAAGAGTTCTTACTAAAAGCATTATTTATTTACTTTTCTTTAAATCATACTCTCAACGTGAAATCTAGTGGAGTCTACTGGTTACATCTGTATGGATGTGATTATATAAATGAATGTTGAAACAAGACAATTTCATAGTATTTGTTGACTATCATTTATCTACTAACTGAATTTTACTGTTTATAGAATGATAGATTAGTTATTTTCTCTCTGATTGATCATTAAATGATTACCAAGTTGAACGATTTAGTGTCGTGTTACATATATCAGTCAAAAATCATCGAGGTAGAGGCTGATATGGGTGTATGTTGTCATACCAAAATAATACAAGATGAAGTTGACATGATGAATAACAAAAAAGATTGAAATGAGTTAGTAGCGGTAGCAATAAGAATAAACATTAGTAATATACTTTAAGACAGTTTGTAAAATATGTATGAGGGAATAATGAAATCTAATTCGAAGGGAGATTTTAGAGAGAATGAATCAGGACCATATGTAACTATTTATGAGCTATGTCACTTAAAGTCCGCAACCGTTAAATCCCAAATATTTCCTTGGTCGTAACCGGGTAGTCTGAATCTATGTACACAACAGAGACTAGCATTTAATAATTTATAAAACTGAGACCCCATCTTTGATCCACTGCTTCATCTTCAATAGATGCTCCGAAGACATATTTAATCAAAGATCTATTACCATCACATGCCTTTCTTCTCTCAAAGACAACGATAAAGTAATGCAGGGAGAACTGTTGAATCATATAAACGCCATTTTTTTGAAAGACGGATATGTCACGCTGCAAGTGACGTTAAGTGGAAAAGCTAACTGAGCTTTCTGAGTTCATGTCATGATTTCTTTGCAAACAAAGGTACTAAGAGTGATGGGATATACATTAACAGGAAGAAGCACAATTCAAACACTCTAGAACTGTCGCGCAAGACGATCGAAATACTCAGCATTGAGTAAGCATCCCCATTAAATTGGAATATATCTACGTATTTTAAACTTGAAAGCAAATCTCCTGGCGAAAATCAACTCATTGAAAAGTTAGACTGATTACCTGTAGCAATAGATAAACATGTACTAATTTCAATTTCTCTATGATGAATAGATTCATTCCTAAGTAACGCTCATCACATACTAACCATTCAATTGAAGACCGTCTGAAAAACCGAAAAAATCCATAAATATTTTTTGATCTACTCATGGACTAATCAAGTTACAAATCGTATGTAAACTATTTCACAAAAAAGTAACCATTAATGATAAAAAACATTCGTTTCTACCTTTTTTCAGTCTTTCATTTATATTCATTGGTATAACAAATAGCGACTTGAAGTAAATAAACCATTCAGTATAGTTTAGGTTTCGATGGTTGTATAATAACTATGACCACGTCCATGTGAATACCGCCTCTATTAAATCACTGATAGTCCCCATATACAGCCGAGAGTGGAGAGAGTCCGCTCTCCCCCACCAAATGCTCTCACATAGTCACATGCATACAACCACTAACAGGGAAGTCCTACTCAATGCCCTCGCGCACCAGTGATGTTGTTTACGAAATTGAGAGGACGAAAACTGAATGTCCGGCACTTTAACTGACTTGATGGACATGGAGAGTCAACCTAAGGGAGTTGGAAAGCACTGATTTCAAGCCAATGGTGCACATGAGATCCATGATCCTGAAGGAACAAATGGCGTATGAACCTATCATTGGTCACCTGCTACCATGTGACTACATCTCCTGACGTTGCTCCACTACCTTGTAAATGGACCGTTAAACCGAAGGCTCGTGGTATGGCCTCCTAAGAAATTCACCTGCCGCGGTTTAAACACCCGAACAGTATCCCAGCCCTCACACAAATCGGATGATCTATGTAGCGCATATCTATTTGATGCCTCCTTGTACCAATATTTGTTTAAATAATAAATCACTGATTGTACCGATAGAATAAAACTGACTCAATATTATTCATCATGAGGCAAGTTATTTTTGCTAATAAAAATGCCAATAACATGTTTCATGTATTTTTAGTAATGAATAAGGGATATAAAAAAAACAATACTTAATTTTGTACTTTATACAATATAAATATAAAAGATCACTCTGTCTTATGCACCAGTGAGAACAAGAGAAATCATCATTCTATTGACTGATTGAATGAAGACATAAACAGGAATTTTATCATTTCTTCATGTATCACAGTGCTTTGGTTGTTGTTGGTATAATTCCCAGTACTATCTATTCAATCTTTTAATCAACGAATCAATGTATAGTCATTAGAATAAAAAATCTTGGTGAAAAAAACTTTTTTCCATCTAAATTCTGAAGTAAACAATTAGAAACTTGTTATAACATGCTGATCTATTAGATCTAATGTATATTAGTATGAGTAGTTTTGGTAAAAGAAATGGGTAAATATTTAATTATCAATGCGTGTGTGTGTGTGTGTGTAGTTTTTTTGTTCCTTGGAGAATAATCACGATCAATATGTTCAACATCTTCCTTTTAAAGTTTATTTCAGTCATTTCTTTCTCTTTTGATTTATTTAGGCTACTGAATATATTAATTGTATGTGAAAATTATATTTGAAATATTCTCAACGATTGAAATTTAACTAATTCCAACGTTTCGTCCAGATAACTTGTCTGGACTTCTTCAGGGTAATAATCAAAATTATATTCATAATGGTTTACTATGAATATGTTCAATATTAGTTTAACTCAAACTTATATTCAACTAAACTCGAATCATTTATCGAAGGATACAATATTGCCAATAGGGAACATTAAAAACTTTGAGAATATTATTGAAATTTAATAAGGCAGTAACTATCAAATTGCTAAAAAGTTTTACATTCAACTAATAGGCCTTATGTTCTAACTTTTATTTCGTTCTACTTCAGAACTACGGAAAAGTGAACAAAGCTGAAACTAATTGTCATTGATATAGAATTTTAGTTCAGGTGCTAACAGGATTTTTTAGGGGGGGGGTACGATGTACTCCCATTTAAATGATTGTTGGATATAAGTCGAACGAGTTCAGTTTCATCAGTCAATTTTTGCTATCTCTTTGTAATGCACTAGTTATAATTTTTTTTAAAAATACTTGTAGATTTCTTGATTATATGAGGTATCGTATGCTCCTAGGTATTTGGAGTTTGTACTACAAATTATATACGCGTTACTATTAGACTGACGTTTCCAGTATGGTATATTAGCTATCTTAGACAGTTGAAAAATCTAACAGTGTACTATACAAGGCGGCCTGCTTGAATATCTGAGCTATCTGTTTCTGCCATTCAGATATTACATCCTGTTATCTGTTTTCTTGTTTGTTTTAACAAATCATTATGCCTATTAATCGCATAACCTAATCATGTGTGAAAAGTTTACGACCTTTCGCTGTACAAGTTACAAAAGAGCCCAATCAGAGACATCGTGGTTGCTGACAGTTGACATCGAAAAGGCATATACATTAATCAGATGTCTATTCCTGAACAGCTAACATTTAACTGGCGACCACTCAATATTTATCTCAAAGGTCGATTTGGTATATTGTACCAAAAATAGAATATTGAATAAAGCCACTAATAGTAATAATGATAAAATAATGTTTATATTTTCACAGTTTCTCATAATTATAAGGTTCAGCTGATTAATAACTGAGGTATTCTGATTGATCCTAATTGAAAAATGATATATTTTTCAAATCAATTATATGAAATGATTTTAAACTATAGAACCTTAATTGAAATCAAATTAACGAACTTTGTTTTTTTTCTTCATAGAATATATAACATATTTATTCAATATTCATCTGGTTCAATATTTGAAATAGTAGCTAAGGTTTACAACCATGATTAATTAGTATACACTTGGTATTGTTTGGCTTGTATCTTCCCATTGAGGTTTAAGACTGCAATTGATCAGTCTGTTAATGGCGTATGTGCATACTGTGCGTATGCCTCGATATTACCTTAATTCACAAGCTATTTGTAAGCAATGATGGATAGTGGTTAGCAATTAGATTTATATTATCAATTATATTAGGTAGTGATTCTAATTATTATTATTATTATTATCAAAGTCCATAGTTTGGAATCATTTACATAAAACTGTATTGTACAAGAAATAATGTAAAAACGTTCTATAGTTAATGAGTTATAGGAAAATGTAGAATCCATTATATATTTGTACCATGGTGCTTATTTTCATGACATCATAATAGCAACATGAAATTATGGAGCAAAATACCAGAATGATAGAATAACAGGCATAGTATCAAACATAATAATAAGTTGAAAAGACGAATTCATGGAGCAAAAAGTTTAAAATGACTTTGAAAATTAAAATCTAAGGAAAGACAAAGGTATGATTGTATTTGGGCTGTTGTAATCGATTGTGACCCACCTCAACTAACATCTTCAGCAATTGATTACGATAAATAGTTTAATCTAGATTGCCTAGTTTACACCAACCTAGATAATTCAGTTCAACAAGTAATGACTTTGTTGGACATCATGCATTGTGAACAACTACATACTAGGATACAGTTATATCCCAAATAACATGAAATTGGCTTTTTCGATGTACCTACTATGTTCAATTTCACTATATGAATGATTTATGAGCTGTTTTTTTTTGCATTATAAACTGTCACCAACTTGAGTAGTATAATATACCAAAAACCATTATTCTTGGGTAGCTTGACATTCTTCAACTATGTACAATCACAACTTCAGTCATTCAAGTTCTCTTACTATAGTTTCAACTGCCTTTTCATCATAAGAACTACACAATTCAACAAAACTTTAAAAGAAAAAAATGACAATTACTTTTTAAAAAATACATAGAATATACTAACTCACTTGATATTTGTTCCATGATGATGTATTGAAGTTGTTGTGTAATCATGTCCACAAGTTATTGTCTCCATGATACAATCACGTCTTTTATCAGTCATTAAAACAAGTGTAATAGTGTAATAAGTCAATTACTTATAGTATTAACAAGATTATTATACGTAATAATGATTATGATAATAATGTTTGTTCTGTTGAGATCCACACACACAGAATTAATACATTAATAAACAAGATGTAGAAGAAGAGATTTTATTGAATGTTAATTCAAATGTGGAATGATTGAAACCAGAACTCTTTGGATCAGAAATGTTTATATATTACAATGAATAAATGAATACAATGTCTGGTTGGTTAGCTTTTAATGAAACAAAAATTTCTATCTAAAGCAGTTTTATTGATAGATAAATACACAAACAATTACACACACACACAACATACTAACATACATACACTATTTGATCTTAAGAAATAAATGGAATGATTATTATGATTATTTGTTGCCTATAGACATCTATGTTACTTTTGTGTGTTAGTTATTATTTTGGTTTGTGTATCTATCCATCTATCTATCTATCTATCCATATATGTATATTTGAATTTTGCTTATGGGGGCGGTTAGTAGGATTGAATATAATCTAGTTTTAAAATTCTCAAGTTGGATTGGTTTTTCTGATTTTTAAGATAATTTGTGCTTAAAATGTGCTAACAACAAATATCAACTTTTTATAAATATATATGAATTGGATTGTACAGGCAATATATATTTTATTCAATTTATGATCGTCTGTTTGTCTCTTAGATAAGGAGTCTGAATTATGTATATGTGTATACATCTATTTACTATTCATGTGTGCTTCTGTGTAAAGCATGCATGTATGTGCGTGTGTGTGTGTACATATATTTCAAATCAAGGAAATATACATAATGGAACTAATTTGAACACCCTAGGATCATATCATCTCATATACAACACATACATACACACACACTTAATATTTCACTTCAATTTAATTACCATTAATATTAGTTACCAAATCAAAAAGAAGCTTTATCATCTATTTTTACTTATGAAGGGGTTTTTATTGTTAATAGATTAATGAGAGGAAATGTTATTTCACACTTCTTTTTTTTTTAACCAATCATTGAATTGTATTTAAAAAAGAAGGGAGAAAATGAGAAAACTTGACATTTCTAATGAAATGAAAATCTTATGTTGTTATCTCATTAATGTGACACAATATTAGAATGTATAGATAGAATATGGTTAATTTCATAATCATAGTAGTATAGAAAGAAAATCGATAAAATTATGATATTTTACATTCAGTATGATTCTATAGTGAAGTTTAACCCTCTTAAATGGTGGTGTTGGTGGTGATGATGATGATGAAATGAAAAGTAATCAGAAAAAACTGTGAATTTGTCAATTGGATTACTAAAAGTATTATCGTTCAGCAAAAATTATGAACGTATCGACATATATAGACGAAGTATGTTAGACAGAGATGAATGGTGACTAGCTATGGAATTCAGGACGGGCATACAATCCCAGATTTAGACCTGTCAGCTGGATGTACCATCATTTCAGAGCTCATGTTCACTCCAGTATTCGTACCAAGTACCATCCGCTTCAAATGTCTGTGTTATCTAATTAGCCACTAGTTCGTGCAATGGGGAGAATATTAATTCATTTTTGCATTGACCAATTGAATTTTCCTATTGACGTTTAGGACTGCAATTGAACAGTCTCGATATTTCTAGTAACTCACAAGCATTATAAACAGAGATGAACGGTAGCTATCAGCGAGACCCAGGATGCGCGTTTTGTTCGGTTTAGTAATTACTGACAATATTGAGTCAGTTCGTGCAGGATTCACACATCAATTGCAGTCTTGAACATTAACGGGAAGATTCGACACAATGATTACAAAAATAAATTAAAATGGACGAAGTATTTGTTACAAGAACGATGATAATCTTCAGAGAAATGTGTAGAACTGACAATTCTTAGGGGCCACACTTGGAGCATTTGACCTACAAGACAGTCACATGGTAGCCGGTGACCAAAACCTGGTTCATACTCCACTTATTCCCTCAGGATACTGGAGCCCATGTGCACCACTGATTTGGATTCATGTTTTTCCAACTACCCTAGGTGCATCTTCCATATCCACCAAACCGGTTAAAGCGCCAGACATTCGATTTTCGTAAACAACACCCTTGGTGCGAGAAGGCAGTGAGTAGGGCTTCCCTAGTAGTGGCTGTATACACGTGGCCATGTGAGAACATTTCGAGAGGGAGAGTCGATTATCTCCACCCTCGGCCGTACCATGGCCTTTGTGGGCGCCACAAACTGTACTGAGACGTAACGACAGTACGTTGTTTTCCTCAGGCAACTAGTATCCGCATTTATGTTTTTTTCTAAACAAATGTGTACATTAAAAATAGTTAACTATAAAAAGACCACACTGCACTTATTGTCCCTTGCTATGAGGCCTAAAATGTACAGTCAACATGTCAAAAGCTGTTCATAAAAAGCAGTATTTGACCGGTCTGAAGCAGTTGTGGTAACACTCTCAAGACACTGAAAATACTACTAAAAGAATTTTCCCTTCATGAACGGTACTAAGTAATATCTTTCCAATTTACTAACAACCAAAATGTCACAAATTTAAACATACCTCTGACAGAACTCGGACTCATCATTCGTATATTCCATATTTTTGCTTTATTTCTAAATATATCTTCTGTTTTTATTCTCAATCCCTGTCCTCTTATATCAACTATTTCCACGTGTGTCACCTGTGTTAACAATATGATTTCATGAAATGTCATTTCAGATTTATTTAAACAGAATTGATGAATTCACGTCGGAGTTTTTATTATTTGAACCCTATCCTTAGTCAGGAAACAAAGATCTCTGACTTGCTGACGTAGGTAATAGGCTATTTCTAAACGTAGAGCAAGCACTTATTGAAAGGATTCCTGTAGACGATCGCCTATGCTCAGTTCAAGTAAATGATAATGTGAAGGACTCAGTAAGGCGAACCAGAACACCGCAGCCTCGTATTCTTCCGCATACGTCTACCATTGATGGCAGCTAGGGTTGAGTAAAAGTTAGGTTTTACAAGAAGCTTTCTAACCTCCTCAAGAAAGAAAGGTTCCTAGACGTCGTAATTCAGATTACAGTTATCAATAGTCATCTCTTTTTGTTATGCTCTAGATGTAAAAAGAGATAATGTCTAGTTTAATGAACAATATAACGACTGAACTAAACAGACTATACCACCCTCGACATTTATTGGAAAGGTTTCGCATAAAAATCCTTTCTGGGGCACATGTTTTAAAAGAATGCACGTTCTGGACTTGTCGAAGTAATTCGTTACAGTTAAATGCTTAACAGATCATAAACTAAAATTTTACCACGACGAAGCTTGAGTTGATTTTCAAATAACTACAAATGCATCAATAACATCTATTATCGACGTAAACCAATATGTTGCGCAAAATTAGTGGATTTAGGAATCTCCAGTGAATTGATTCCTCCACAGGAGCTCATTCTGGAACGTTCGAAGGATGAAGGAGAGCAATAACTACTCAGACGTATAGTCAAAGCATTTGCTTAAAGATCGTAAACAGTTGTGGAGAACAAATTTAAAAATATGGAAGATGAAGTGCTGATAAGTAGCGCTAAGCAAATATCAAGTCCTTTAAACAAAATATTAGCCGTTAGAGAAAGAAAAGACTGAACTGTGATCCATTCTTAATTCAGAAGATTAGGTTGTTGGACAGAATCTTTTACGAAACAATTCAACTGGTCCTCAATTGCTCATTATTTATAAACAAACAGAAGAGAACCTAAATATTCTTTCCAACTCTTATTAATGTTTAGAAGGCTGTGTATAACTTGATGGGAGGGAGGACAATAGGATTTGATGCGTTAACTCTGAAAACCTCTAAATTTGGTAGTTCAATCTTAGTAATCAAGTTGTCTGGGATACGAGCTAGAGTTTGGCAAACACGCCTAATCCCGTGCGACTGGTCTCGACTGTTGATCGCTCCAATTAAGGAAAAGGACAGAAATCCTCTTATGATAACCACAGGGAAAATAATTTGACCAATATAGTGTCTACTCACCCGACCCTTATCTGGTACATGGGAATTATCACAGCCAGTTTTAAGTTAGACCTAAACGTGGACATATTGATCAGATGTTCTCTCTTCATCAGGTTCTAGAAAATAGACATACATACAGATGTCTGACTATAGTTATATTTGTTGATTTGAAGGCACCAGTGGACCCTGTCGACAGAAAGGTTTTTTTCCAGAGCTTGTCATCGAAAGGCATATTGAAGAAGTACATGTGAAATATATTTATGATCAAATTGGTGCTTATGATGAAGGGTCATCGGTGTTCTTATCTACAAACATTACCATTCAGGGCGGTTAACTATACCTATCCGCATTTATTTTCTCTATAGATGTCTTCCTACAAATCACATTATCTGAATGTTAGTTTTCTGGGACTAATCTACTTTCTATAAACTCACTCACTGATAAGAAGTAGGCAAATGATATAGTCCCATTAGGCAAATAAAATGATGAGATTATAGTTCTACAAACACCTTGAGTAACATTATCAACATATTTCAGTGGTATTTCTTTCCCTTTAAATCCAGAATATTTCTTCAGGACTGATATATATCATCATCTAGACTGACAACAGAAAATGAGGCAGCTAAGCGAAGTAACCACTTTAATTATCTCAGAATTCTTACCAATCATGGTGTGTTTTTGCTTTACAAAATCGTATCACGAATTTAGAAACCTCACTAAATTTTTACTAAGTTATGGCACATATCGACTTTAATTGTTTTCTTTCATTTCAAAAAATATCCTAACAATAAATCAAAATCATTCACTGAATCAATCTCTTGTTTGAATGTCTAAATAGGTAAATCCCATTTACGAATAATTAACCATTTTTCCACGTGTAGTGACTATGATATGGAGAAGAATCATTAATTAAATTTTATAATAATAATAATAATATCCTAAATGGAATTGTTCTGCAATGAATTCAACCTACAAATCGGAC